TGAAACATCCCCCAACAGGCTCATGCTTTAAATAGGTGTTCTCTAGCTGGTGATGCAACTTGGGGAGGCTATGGAACCTTTTGGGGGAGGGGGGCTAATTGGCACAAGTAGGCTGCTGTGGGATGTTCTGTATGCTGTGAATATGTGTTGCTCTGATTGGTTGATAAATAAAGCTGTTTGGCCTATGGCAAGGCAGCTTAGAGGCAGGCAGGAAATCCCAAACAGACAAGAAGAGAAAGGAGAGGCAAGGCAGATGCTGCAAGCTGCCGCCAGCAGAAGCAAGATGTAAAGGTATTGGTAAGCCCCAAGCCAATATACATGTGGCAAAGTATAGACTTATAGAAATGGGTTAATTTAAGATATGAGAGCTAGCTAGCCAGAGGCCTGCCATAGACCATATAGTTTGTGAGTAATATAAGCCTCTGTGTGTTTAATTGGGTTTGAGCAGCAGCAGGACCTGGTGGGCCCCTGGGGTTAAGCCTTTAAAGGTTATAGGTGGCCCCTGGTTTAAGCCTTTAAAGGTTATAGGTGGCCCCTGGTTTAAGCCTTTAAAGGTTATAGGTGACCCTGGTTTAAGCCTTTAAAGGTTATAGGTGACCCTGGTTTCAGTCTTGCTCTCTGCTTCCTAGTCTATCATCATGTGAACAGCCAGCCTCTGCCACGCCCTCCCACCGCCATGGACCCAGCCACTCTACTGCGCCTTCCTCACAGACAGAGCTCAAGCTTCTGAACCATGACCCCAAATAAATCTTCCTCCCATAAATTTTTTCTCTCAGGCATTTTGTCATAATGACACAAAAATTAATTTAAATAAGATCCTGGGAATCCACTTCTTTTCCCACTCCCATAAAAGCTCTAGTCACAGAGGATGCTAGAGAGAAAGAGATCAGAAAAATGAGTTCAGTCACAAGTCAGGGCAGCTAAGTAGGGCCAGGTCCTCTGGAGCTCAGGACCAAGACCCAGACCTATTTCTCCTTGGATGAGCCTAGGAGATGAAGTGGCCTTCTTCAGCTCCTCAAATCTTTCCTCTACCATCAAATGGAGGTGGTGGTGGGAAGTCATGAGGTCTCAGGCTCTGTCTAATTTTGTGACACTCAGAGATGTCAAGAGGGACAAGAGGTCTCCAGATGTAGTCCTGTAGAGTCGGGGTGCCTGGACTCCTCAATGGTCCTGATGCTGATTGTTTAAGAACAATGTTGGATGAAGAGGATGCACTCGAACTTCCCTCGTTCTTGATTCCTTTGCAAGAAGTAAGGAGTGATAAATATTTATACCCTGTTACAACACTGTAGAAAAGAAACATAAAACTGCAAGGTTTCTTTTATATACTATGCTATTTTTACCTAAACTAGGAGAGCCAAAGTCGTGTTTTAAGTTTTAATTGCTATGCCTAAGAGATCCATAAAACAACAATGCCTCTCACCTGTAAGCCCCTTGCTTAAGGACAGACATGTCCTGAAACGCTGGAGGCTAAGGTAACAAGCCACATGTTTTCACTCCCCTAAACAAGTTTATTTGACTCAACTGCCTGTGCTTGATCACATGTAGGAAGGAGGTTCATAGGCAGGAAATACATCAAGATGTATGCTTGCCCCTGATTGGATAGAAGTGGGAGGTATGCAGGTAGGAAGTATTTCTGGATATGTGCTTGCCCCTGATTGAACCTGATAGGAAACGCATAGCCTTGAGGGTTTGCCTTTATAAGCCTCTGCATAATGTGACTCATAGCCATTTTCTGGGAACCCCTGAATGGACCTGGCCAGAGTCCATCATCCATTTCATTAAAAGCTTTCTTCAAAACTTGTGGTAGTGATCTTATTCTCAACCAATAGGATTAACAAACCTACAAACTGAGAAACTGATTCTGCCTGTGCATGTATGTGGTGTGTGTGTGTGTGTGTGTGTGTGTATGTGTGTGTGTGTGTGTGTGTGTATGTGCAGTCAACTTTAGGTCCTTTCTCTTCAGGTACCATCCACTTTGGTTTTTGAGGCAGTCTTTCACTGGCCTACAATCTGCCCAGTCAGCTAGGCTGACTGACCATCCAGCCCCAGGGATCTCCCAATCTCCACCACTTGAGAGCTGAGATAACCAGCATGTGCCATTGTACTTAGCTCAAATTCAGGTCCTCCCTCTTGCAAGTCGAGCACTTTACTGATGGCACTATCCCCCCAGCTCTTGTTTTTCAATTTTATGTAAGAATACATGGCTTTGCCAGACACATGTTGTCATGGACATGAGAAGGTAGGATGGGGCAGTCTCAGAAGCGAAGGGTGGTCCATAACTTCCACTGCATGTGTTAAAAATTTCTACCAACCCCCCCTAGCAGGGCAGCTGCTGAAAGAACAAGCCTTTTGTTTGTGGTAAGCGCTACAGAAACACCAGCATCTCCTAGAATCTTCTAGACAATCTATTGTACAAGAGATGAGAGTGATGGATTTCACTGGCCAGTGTGAAAGCATGGCCAGGAGAGGAGTCTTCTGAGGAGAAAATCAGGGCCTGGGCAAGCTTCCTGCAACCAGACAAGCAGATGCAGAGTGGAGGCATGGGCTTGCTTTCCAAATGTTAATGAGTGTTCCTAATCAGATAAATATGGCTTTCACCAACTTCTGCACCCACGCACTCCGGTTTGAGACTGGACTAGGCTGGTGTGCAGTTGATTAAACAGAGCCAAGATCTAATCCAAGGCACCTCTGGCATTTTCTCTCTTATAACATTAGGGGTGTTGTAAATAAAACAGATTCAGAAAATATAAATCTCCCATCTCTTCCAGTTCCAACAAAATCATACATCAATCGGCCCAAAGGATTCAGTACTTAGCTGAAAAAAATAAAAACAAAAACCTGTGTTTATCAGATCACAGAAAAAGTGAAGGGAGGGAGGGAGGGAGGGAGAGGGAGAGGGAGAGGGAGAGAGAGAGAGAGAGAGAGAGAGAGAGAGAGAGAGAGAGAGAGAGAGAGAGAGAGAGAGAGAGAGAGAGAGAGAGAGAGAGAGAGAGAGAGATCAATCCAGGCCTCTGTGGACAGTACAACATTACAACCTGGGACATCTTGTTGAGGAGATCACTCCGCCCCCAGCCCTGAGATGCTGGATTTCAAGTCATTGAGAAAGAAAAGCCGAGGCTCAGCATGCAGCAGAGCATCCTCACCACCTACCCTAGTGTCTGGATCTTTGACAGGTTCCTCCACTCCGCCCCAAGTGGCCACATGGCTGTAGTTGTGTTCAATCTCCAGCCCGGACAAAAGGCTAGGGAAGTTGAAGTCTCAATGAATCTGTTAGAACACAAATCCCAAACATAGAGTCCATAGCACATATTTTAATTCTTTCTTTTCTTCCTTCCTTCCTTCTTCTTTTTTTTTTTTTCTTTTTTCAAGACAGTGTTTCTCTGTGTTGTTTTGTGCCTGTCCCTGGATCTCGCTCTGTAGACCAGGCTGGCCTCGAACTCACAGAGATCCTCCTGGCTCTGCCTCCCGAGTGCTGGGATTAAAGGAGTGCACCACCACCGCCTGGCTAATTATTTTCTGTGAGCATTTGCAAGAGCTATCTACGTCTCTTGAAATCTAAGTCGGGGGCTCTTAGAACTTAGAATATAACACCACCAGCAAACAGCCCCACAGACAAAGAACACAAGGGCTGTCAAGAAGGAAGGAAGGCCATTGCCTACTCTAGTTTCCTTGACTCACTGCAGCTTTAAACAGGCTCTCATATAGCCCAGGTTGGCCCCAAACAAATTACATAGCCAAGGATAACATTAAACTTCCGAACCTCCTGCCTCCGCCTCCCAAACGCTAAGATCACAGGCAAGCGCCACCACGCCTGGTTTGCCACGCCCACTTCCGCAAGCATTGTTGCCATTGTATCCAACTCTTTATTTAAACTTTCACTTGTCATAATTGAGTTCCACTGACTTTTAAAGGGCTGAAGTCATACCAATTATCAGGGAAAAACTATTTCATCAGTAGGACGTCTGAGGCAAGTTTGGCTTTACCCACTGTCCCGAACACCTGCGCGTGGAGTTGCTCCTAGGTTAGAGGGTATGGGTGTGGCCACAAGGGAGGGGGAACCATGAGATTCAACCATTACTCACCACCTGGGTTTGTTCATCCTACAAACCCTGCCAAACAACATACCGCAGGCGCAAAGAGCTCCGCCTAAGTGTCTCCACGAAACAAAGGTGGTCCTATATTTTACGTGCCTGCCCGGACTTCAGGCACAGCTTTCCACTGGAGGCTCCTTCTTTCCTCCTGTTGTGCAAGCCTCTTGTTCCAAAAGGCTCTGCATCCCAAACAAGGGGAAACGCAGATCCCCTACCAATGACGCGGGAATGAGCGAGCGTGGGTGAGCCTGCCTCCTTCAAGAAAGCAGCACCACCGCACTGGGCATGGAAATGGGTACAGGATATTTTCTGAGGCTTACGTCACGTAGCTCATTTGGAAAGTTCAGCCTTCCAAGCTTTACAGCCAGCGCTCTGTCTCCCTCCCCTGACCTGTTCCTTTAGGTTGTTTTCTGTAGCTTTTTTTGGGTGTATAATAACACGCATGTAGTGCTCTTGATCTGTTCTTTAAGGGTATCTGCAGTTGTTTGGGTTTTTTTTTTCTCTTTGTTCTTTTGGGGGCCTGCCACCCAGCTCCCAAATAATTACACATGGAGGCTTATTATTACTTACAAATACTCAGCCTTAGGTTGGCTTACTTCCTTCTAGCCAGCTTTTCTTAACTTAAATTATCCCATCTACCTTTTGCCTCTGAGTTTCTTTCTTTTCCAACTTCTGTAATCTTACTTTCACTCTTACGCCATGGCTGGTTATGTGGCCGGGTGGCTGGCCCCTTCTTTTTTTCAATCTCTATTTTTCTCCTTCTGTTTATTCTCTCTGCCTGCCAGCCCCACCTATCCTTTCTCCTGCCTTGCTATTAACTGTTCAGTTCTTTATTAGACCATCAGGTGTTTTAGACAGGCAAAGTAACACAGCTTTACAGAGTTAAACAAATGCAACATGAAAGAATGCAGCACATCTTTGTATCATTAAACAAACGTTTCAGGGCATAAAAATATGTAACACACCTCAAAATCACATTCTACAACAGATATCACTTCATAGAAGACTATGACACTTCCTCCTGTTCTCTTCCCTCTATTCTCTCAATACAGACACATTAATCATTTTGGTTCAATGAACCGACTCTGAAGACAGAAACACATCATCATTTCCTTTCTTTTGTCTTCTGGCACCCAAAGGTGCAGCTTGAAGTTCCATGTCACCCCCATTCCTATTTGAATGGAGCCGGTAGTTGTCTCTCTAAGGAGATACTTGGAGTCTTCTTTGCGCCCACACTTTGAAATGTCAAGTGGTGGAAACTGGTGTGGATCTTTTCAAACTCATAGGAAGTTTTCTGGTATCATTTCTTCACTTTTCCTCTCTTTAGTCTCTGGAATCCCTGTCAGTAAATGTTAGCCCTTGCGATCAATGCTTTCATTTTGTATGACTTCACTATTGGCCACACCTCTTTTTTGTTGTTAATTTCCTGGGAGGTAGTCCCACTTTGTTCATTTAAAAGTTCTTCTATTTTTTAACTTCTCTAGGCTCTTTTTTTCTTGTTCTTTGATGGTCCCTGAATCAAAGCATCCTGCTTTTGATGAATGAACATCTCTTAACTCTCTAAGAATATTAAATGTTCTCTTTTTCTGTGTGTTTCCAAGGTCTTGTTCTGTTGCCTGCATCATTCCCATTTCTACTAAATCTCTCTTCCCCACTTGAATGACCCGAATCTCTTTCATGTTGATTCAGATGCTGATGCCTGAAAGCAGCCTGTTCATATTGAATCCTCAGATCCCAGACCTGACTGTGGATTGCTTTCAGGCGTAGCTAGAGGACTCGTGAGCTGGGGAAGCAAGTTGGCTGCAACCTAGTGGTGGTGCGGGTTTCTCAGGGTGGGAGCCTGAAGCAGTCTTTTCTTTCTGTCTGCTGGTTCTCCCAGGGGAAATCCTTGCCTTCCTTCCCGTAGGATGTACACTTGGATGCAGTGATCATCAGCAGCGAGGACTTTCCAGCAAGAGTCCTGGATCCCATTCCTGTTCTCCTCTGTGTATTCTGAGGTGATGCCCAGAGCCCTTGGGGCTCAGTATCTCTGAGAAAGAAAACTTCCAACTTTATTCAAGCAGGTGGCAGGGGAAGGCAAAGGATCCAGACCCCCTAAGAACTGTCTGTCTTCAGTTTCTCAGCTCCTTCCAGTGTGCTGTAGCACCAGGTATCACAGAGCCTCAGGCTTTCGGGGTTCAGCTGTGGGTGGTTCATTTGGCTGGAGAGCACTCCACAGGCAAGGCCAGCCTTCCATCTGCTTTGCATCCGCCTAAACAGAACAGACAATTAAAACTCCGCACAGTCCCTCTGTGCATGTGTCTGATTCATGTATTTATATCCTTTTATTGCTGTTCTGAATCTCTAATCAGAGTTTAAGTCTTAAATCTTAAGGCTTAAGTCTCCCATCTTTAACCAGAAGCCCCTTTTCATTACATAGATTTCACATTGCTTTGCAGAAGTCTCCATGCCTGGAATTCACTCTCTGTGCTTATAAAGGTAGAAGATCTAAACTTAGATCTACCAGGTACTGGCTATGTGGCCTTGGGCTAGTTCATTCACCCTGGACCTTTTTTCCTCCAGTATTAAATTGGTTTTTGGTAAACTTGTAATGGTTAATCTTTGTTGTTGATACTTCGGATCAATTACCTAGGACGGTTGTCCCTGGGCATGTCTGTCTGTGAGTCCACTTCCCGGGAGAGTCATCTAAGACGGGAAGCATGTGGGCAGCCCCATCTCATCGCCTTGAATCCCAAACTGAGTAAAAGTAAATAAATGAAAGGAAGAAAGAAAAAGGAGAGAGTTAGCTGAAGACCAGCATTCATCTCTCTGTTTCCTAACTGCAGACACAGTGTGACCAGCGCTCATACCTCGCTGCCATGCCTTCCTCACCGTGATGGACCGTTCCCTCAGAGCAAGGGCAAAAGAAGCACCTCCTCTCCCAAGTTGTTTCCACAGGTTGGTGCTGCCCATTTGCAGGTCCAATCCATCTTCCTAGACTAATCCTCACCGGAAACACCCTCACAGCAGCACACAGAGCTGTGATTTACTGATCTTCCAGGAAGCTTTCCACCCTCTCGACTTGGCAATTAAAGTTCGTCATCATAACCAAATAACAATTCAAGAAGACGTAGTACTTCCAGATCAGACTCTTTGTGTTTTGAGGCAGGACCTCTCTCTATGTATCCCAGGCTGGCTTAGAACTTCCTCTATAGCTCAGGCTGGCCTCCAACTCATGATTCTCCTGTCTCAGCTTCTCTATGCCAACAAGTCCTGCTCACATTTTTAAGTCAATACACTTTTCATTCAAGAAAGTAAACCATTTTTCCTGAAGTATTTCTCATCTGTGTAAATGAAGTATAATTGCCTGCATATTTCACCTGCTGCATGTTGACCCCCCCCCTGAGGTTTTAAAATCGCTCCCACCGTTCTGTCAGTCACAGAATCTGGTGCATTGGAGCTACAAGAGATCTGAAAGTTTATGTGGTCCAGCTCCCTCATTCTGGTGACGATTTAGATAGGCTCAAACAGATGAAATTACTCACTGATAATATGGAACTGTATCCCAGGCTAATGATAGCTTGAAACTGGAGCACCTGAGAGTACCCACCTGAGATCCTCCTAAGCCTGGGTTCATAAACATTCCCTCATTGGAGTGAGGCTCACAAAGCTCAAAGACCCCTCAGCAAGGATATGAAAGGGTTAACATTGCTGGAGTTGGGGACATTTCTGTAGAGGTGTAGCTGTTCCTACATTGTCCGTATTTCTGCAAGTAGCCTTCACCCATACTCTACTTAAACTCACCAGTTCAACAAACTAGACTTGGGTAGAATCAGTTCCTTGGTCCATGGCTGGTGCCCTACCTGGAGTGAATAATCAATATTTGTTCATGTCTCCTAGGAAAAGTTAACACCCAAGGGCTTCAGGGAAGAGTCAGAATCAAAACTTGACCCAGCTCTCTCCACTGTACTCAACCGGATTACCCAGAACAAACAGACGCTCAATAGGTTTCTGGTGTCCTCATCATGAACTAACCTCCCATGTTCTCTCCATTGGCCACTAGTCTGTTTTCTGTTGCTAAGGAAACAACCAAGACTGGTACTCTATAGGAAAAGAGGTTTATTTCTTTCTTATAGTTCTGGAAGTTCAAGGCATGCATGGTCTTGGTACTGACTGAGCTCTAGTGAAGCTCTTATGCTAAAGAAAACAATTCCATGTTGTTGTTCCTATCATTGGTTTGTGTGGTGTGAGAAAAAGTCCCTCAAAATTACCATGGAGCCTGAGAAATAAGAGTGCGAAACGAGAGGGTTGGCTCAGTGGTTAAGAGCACTGACTGATGTTCCAGAGGAACCCGGTTCAATTCCCGGATCGTCTGGAGTCCGATCACGCCAGGATTATAGATAGATAGATAGATAGATAGATAGATAGATAGATAGATAGATAGATAGATAGATAGATAGATAGATATAAAAGAGTGCTAAAAGAGACCAGAAGGAATGGTGGTGGAGATGAGCATGAGATGAGTGCCCTGCTGTGTGCCACACACGTCTGTGTATCATCGTGATGTATAGTTATGAGGTTGGGAAGGACAGGTATCAATGGAGCCCACAGACACACAGGCCATCTTAGGAGGTATCAATCTACATTTCAGCATGATGCTGAATTGCATTAAGTCCTTTGGTTGAAGTAACATTTTAACTGCAGTGAGTCATTCAGTGTACAGATACAGGGGCATGCCCTGGAACTCTGGCACAGAAAGATCAGTCAGACAGTCCTGAGAAACTGAAGCATGTAACCAAATAGTTAGCAGTTCTTAAGGCAGCTTCTTGTTGTCTGGCTCTCGCTCCCTCATTGTCTCATCCTGAGGAGCCTCATAGTCTCTATGCTGCTGAGGGATGTCTTTCTGTATGCTGTGAATGTATGTTGTTCCCATTGGTTAATAAATAAGCTGCTTTGGCCTATGGCTTAGAGGCAGGCGGGAAATCCAAGGAGAGAGACAGGAAAGAGAAATATGGAGTCTGGAGAGACGCCAGCTGCCACCGCTTGAAGGAGCAGCAAGATGCCAGCAGTCCAGTAATGCCACGCCACATGGCAACTTATAGATTAATAGAAATGGGTTAGGTTATAAGAGCTGGCTAGCGAGAAGCCTGCCATAAGCCAGACAGTTTGTAAATAATATTAAGCCTCTGAATGGTTATTTTATAAGTGGCTGCGGGACTTCAGGGCCAGGCGGGACCTGAGAAAACCTCCAGCCACACTATGCTGACTGTCCACACAGCTTCCTCATCATTTCTGGGTCAACATGACCTTCGTTTTAGCAATAAGTAGAACCCAAGTCTGATATTTTTCAGTGTTAATGCCAAACTGGCATGAGAAAGGGCCTGATTGATCTTGTTTGATCCATTGTCTTTCCCTGTTCTATCAAATATGGCAGCTGAGGTGTTGACATGCTGTGGGATATTTGTACACTGTGTGAAGACATATTGCAGTGATTGGTTTGATAGAGAGCTGATCAATAGCTAGGCAGGAGGTATAAGTGGGGATTTTGGGCAGAGAGAGGAAGTAGGAGGAGATAATTGAGGTGTAGAGGAAACACCAAAGAGATACGGAGGGAGTCAGACAGACAGAATGAAAGAAAGGAGAGAAGCCACACAGTAAAATGTAGATTAATAAAATCAGGTTAATTTAAGTTATAAGAGCTAGTGGGACAAGCCTAAGCTAAGGCTGAGCTTTCATAAACCAATAAAGTCTCCATGTTGTTATTTGGGAGCTGGCTGGTGAAACAGAGAAAGACTCACTACACTAAAAGTCAACACAAGTCAATTTGGCCATTCATGCCTGTCTCATGATTTTTGATAGATAATGGTGATTTCCAACAAGAGACACGGAAGCCATCACTTTCCCCAACAATGTCAATGTCAGGGTGTGAACACAAAGTCTGTCACATATACCACCTTGTAAATAAGCAGGCACAAAAAAATGTCATGCTGCCTGAGCATGTGAGTTCACTGAGGTCGCGGCTCACACGCCCGGCATGACCCGCAGAGTTTACTAAAGATGCCATGGCACCCGGCAGCAGCAGCAGCTCAGCGTGCATGGCCGGCACCTGTCAGGGCATGGAAGGTAACAGAGCCTTTGGTGCTCATACCTCTCTGAAGGGGTTAAACTGGCAGGCCCACTCGAATACAGCACCAGTTCAAGGACAAAGGCGCTGTCACAACACTTGTAGCCCGTCTGCGTCTGGCCAAGTCAGTTCTTTCTGGTACCCCTTCTGCTAACCAATGACTCTAATGGAGACGCAAGTGGCTATTTCCAGTCACTGTAGAGTGTGAATCTCTCACTGGCGTCCTTCAAAGGCAATCACCAGGCCCGAGGCTTCAGATGAAAATTAGCATATATACACATATGTATGCACACGGACACACACACTCACACACACACTCACCCGAGGTGCAGTTATGGGTTAGTTGGTGAAGGGGCTCTGCCGGATAAAAATAATAGGTTCTCTTTTAGAGGGCTGTCCTGGAAGCCCTGCTCCCTACCAACAATGCAGCTGACATGTCACTAATTAGCCGGCCCCGTCAGGAAAGGAATCTGGAGTATTCTTTTTTTTCGAGACTGCATTGCTATTTGATTACTACAGGGGTCCTGTTGCTAAGGAAAAGAGTACATAGTGAGGGGGCAGCCAGTGGCCTCTGGGCACTGCTTGGTCTAACTCCAATCTCTTAACCTTTACCTTGGTTTCCTTATCTGCAAAACAGGTTCATCAGTACCCAACCCACCAGCTCTTCCAGGCTTTCATGAGTACCCAGTGAAAACTCTTTGAAAACAGGAAGCCTTGTTCAAATAGAAGGTATCATTCTGAGTGTTTATCTAAGAAACCTTGGGGCTGTATGACAGTGCAAACACAACTGAACATAAACGTTCATTCTTCATTTACACCAGATGAAAGTGTCATTTTTTCCCCATCAAGCCTCCATATGGCCCGTCCTCTCACCCGTGAAGCTAACTGGATACACAGAGACTCGAGGGTGATTATGCGGCATTATTGCAGCTGGTCCTGGGTTAGGCACTGTACTGCCCACGGCTGAACTTGCCTAATCCTCACACAGTTATTGGTGGGCACCCTGTTGTGCCACTAGCTGATAGAGGAAGCAGACATTGAAGGTAGAGAGCCCAGGCAAAGGGGGAGCAGGGGTGGGACTTGGCTCTTCCATGTGTCTAAACTCCTCTTTCATTTCAAAACACTGTAGATTGTAGTCACCATGTTGCTGGATTGAATTGCAACCCTCCTCCATGCCCCTGAAAAAGGAATGTTGATATTCTAGCTGCTGATGCTGGGACAGAGACCTTCTCTGGAAAGAATCTTTACAAACATTCAGATAAAGGGCTGAGGTGTAGCTCAGTGGTAGAGTATGACTTTTAATTTGCACAAGGTCCTGGGTTTGATCCAGCGCGCGCGCACACACACACACACACACACACACACACACACACATATATATATATATATATATATATATATATATATATATATATATATATACACATGCACACACTGGATTGAAGTCAAGATGAGGTCACCCTAGGTTAGGGTGACTCCCAATCTTATGACTCATGTCCCTATGCGAAGAGGGAACTCTGGGGACTAGAAAGCTACAGGACTGGGATAGAGTGCTTACTTAACTTGCACAAAGCCCTGGGTGCATGGCGGTACACACCTGTAATCCCAGCTCGCAGGAAATGGAGGTGGGATGAGAAGCACAGGAATCGGAGGTGGGATGATGAGAAGCTTAAGGTCATCCTGGGCTATATATAGCCGTAGCTCAAGGCCAGCCTGAGATACATGAGACCTTGTCTCAAACAAAAGAGGTAAGTTTGAACAGAAACACAGAGGATAGGGCCACGGGCGGGCAGATACACTGCCTGGGGTGCTGGGGCTGTAAGCAAGGGGCATGGAGAATCGCTGGCACCCACCAGAAGCTGGAGGTGGCCTAGAGTGGTTTTCCCATGAGCCTCCAGAAGGGCCAGTGCTGCCAGATCCCGGCTTCAGAGTCTGGCCTCTCACTCACTCATGGCTGCTGCTGCCACAGAAAGCTAAACACAGACAAATATGTGAAGAGCCTGGTGTGGTCTCTACTTCTTCCACCCAGGGCACAGGGCACTTGCTCCCGGAACCACAAGGGCCTCCAGAAGGCAGAAGGTTTGGCTAGGGGAGGACTGGACCATTTCACATTCTCTACATTTCAGTGATTCCACCTTCAAATACTGTCAACTTAATTGTTACCTCTGACTTCCCAAAGACAGCTGTAAAATGGTTCCTCAAATGGAAAGGCAAAATCACCGGCTGTAGACAAAAATTAAAAATATTAAGGTACAAAGTATTGATCTGCTTGTTTTTTTCTAGCAGTCACAAGCCACAGTGTGAAAGAAATGTAGTACTGTAGACCTTACTAAGCCGCTGTGAGGAGTCTCAACCCACCACAGATCCAGCTGTTTGGCACAATGTTCTGTAGGGAGAAAGTGCTGGAATGGAAAATATTAAAGACTTTTTAAAAAATATTTTACTTATTTATTTATGTGTTTAGTGTGTGTGTGTGTGTGTGTGTGTGTGTGTGTGTGTGTACTTGTGCTATGATACACGTATGAAGGTCAGAGGACAAGCTGTAGAAGTCAGCTCTCTCACTCCATCATGTGGGTCCCAGGGATTGAACTCAGGCCATCAGGCTTGGTGGCAAGTGTCTTTTCCCACTCAGCCATCGTGCTTTATTTTGTTTTGCTTTCATTATTTTTATTCTATGTGTTTGGGTGCTTTGCCTGCACATGTCTGTACACCATGTGCATGCCTGGTGTCGAAGGTGTTACAGATGATTGTGAGCCGCCACATGTGTGCTAGGAACTGAACCTGGAGCCTCTGGCAGAGAAACAAGTGCTTGAACCACTGAACCACCTCTCCAGCCCTTGCTTTATTTTTTAATACAAGATCTGATATATTATAGACTTCCCTGTGCACCCCAGGCTTGTCTTTTGGACTCATAATCCTCCTGCCTCAGCCTCTGAAGCTGTGGAATTACAAGCATGCACCCTTATCCTTAGGCCTGCCTTGAGCAGGCTTTTACATCCGTAAGAGCCATTCACATTTACAAGAGCAGCTGCTGGTCTTTCAACCCAGAGAAATGAGCAGAACGGACATCTACCATTAGCACGACCTTGTCAAATGTCACTTTATTACCCCAGATCATAACCACCGATGTGTCTCGAGTGGAGAAAATAAATAAGACCTTCAGGCTGAGAAGAGGTCTTTTCATTGTGCTGCTCCGAGGAGAAATCTGGAAACCCAGCCAAAGAACACAGGCTGACCTTTGTTCAGACACTGGCATGAGGGAGAGTGGAAAGGGCTGTTGGGATAAAGAGATATTTGTGTTTCCGACTTGCAAGGGCTGTTGGGATGAGACACTCCCCAGCACACAGGCCCTTCCGATAAGACTCAACATAAGGCAAGAGTGTCTAGTGAGGTCTAATTCTGTTCCTCTGGAAAGTTGTAAAGACCCCACAGGGATGAAAGCCCACTATACAGACAGAAGCCTGAGGGCCTAGTGTGCCCAGGAAGTCACCCAGACCGCTGGGTGTCTCAATTGTTGACATTTAAGAGATTGACCGGCATGTAAAACACCAATTAAGCTGTACATGTTTCCTCCCCCATCTCTTTCTCTGGCACAATGCCGTCTGTAAGCATGTTCCTTGCACGCTACGGCTGGACAGACAGATGGGTATTTGGGTATTTGGGTATATGGGTATTACTTTATCTGTGGGTCTTTACACTTGCTGAGCAAGAGTGAGGATCTGGGTTCAAATCCCAAGAACACATACAAAGGCCACGAGCGCTTGTGAGGCCAATGGCCCTGCAGTGAGATGGGAGGCAGAGACAGAGAACGTCCAGAAGTTCAAGGGCCAGATAGCTTGGCATACTCAGTAGCGAACATCAGAGACCCAGTCTCACTTAAATTCACACCTAAAGTTGTGCTCTGACCTCCACACACATGCTGTGGCATGTACGCGTATGTTCATGCATGCATGCACGCACGCACCCGCAGGCACACTTGCATACCGTCCTGAGTTCACAGTGGGAAGTCAAGGCATCATCAGGGCCAGGCTATGCCGAAGACGCTGGGGGAGACCCTCTCTGAGCTGTGATAGCTCCTTGGTTTGTGACAGCACACTCCTAGCGTTCTCTCTGGTCTTCCCTTTGTGACAGCTGTCAGTCAGACTGGAGTACAGTCTCATCGTAACAAATCACATCTGCCAAGACCCTCTTGCCAGCCAAAGCCGCCTTCAGTTAGCACAGGAATTTTGGTGGGGCATGGCTGAATCTGCAGCACGCCTCTCCCTGCGATGAGGCAGGCTGCCGAAGGCTGGCAGATGTCAGTGGTACACAGCAGGGCGGGGCTGGAAAGCAGCCGCCCCAGCCTGTTTCTCATGCCATTCTCCGGGCCTCAAACCCACCTGTAAGATAGGCAAAAGGGCAAGGGGATGCTGGGGAAGTCAGCCCTCGCCAGCACGAGGCCGAGAAGGGAGAAGACTGAGTGGGCTGTGTGCGTGCGTACGTTCCCGTAGGGGCAGGAAGAGGGGGCGGACGGCTGAAGACCAGGGTCTGGATGGGTTAGGGACAAGTTGCAGACTAGTGAACACGACACAGTGACTTGGATGCTTGGAGGGATAATGAACTATTGCCCCGAGGACACTGGCCACTTTCATACCTATCGGCATATGGTTTTCATTTTTTTCTTTATGTGGATAGAGTAGGAGGAATCAAACCCAGGGTTGTTGGCATGCTGGACCCTTTGCCACTGAGCTGCATCCCTCTTTCAGCACTCTGCTCACCCGCCTATATACGGATGCTCTTCAATTCGTAACACCTTACTCGGTTCATCATTGACTTGTGTGTTAGAGACCTGTCCAAAGCTGGGATAAAAGTCTATGACCAAAGCCACTTAATAATAACTGGGCTTGGATGTTCAGAGTTAGAGTCCATGATAGCTGAGCCAAGGCACGGTGGAAAGAACTGCTGAGCGCTCTGTACCAGAAAGCCACAAGCAGGGGGCTAAGGGTCACCCTGGGAGTGACTTGAGTCTTTTGAAATCTCCAAGCCCATCCCCAGTGACACACCTCCTCCAGCAAGGCCACACCTAATCCTTCCAAACAGTTCTACCGACTGGGTACCGACATATGAGCCTTCAGAGGCCATTCTCATTCAGACCGCCAGTCAGTGATTTAAATACTGTCTTTTATAGACCCTTACTTTATGGCTCCATCAGAGCCATGATTTGTATCCTTTTGGACAACATTATAGACAAACAACTCATATGGTTCTCAGATTGGACTGTGATCTTGGGTCTTTGTACAAGCTAGGGGCACTGTCCAGAACGTCTGTCTCCCTCTTTTTTCCTCCCTGGAGAGCTCCTAATCATTCTTCCAAGTCCAACTAAGGAGTGCCTTTTCTGTGAAGCCTTCCCTGATTTCCTCAGGAAGTTAGATGCTCCCGAGTTGAGCAGCACTTTGCACACGCCTCTATTTCCATGCTTTGCACACCGTAGTTTTTTGGACAAGCTTATCCCAGGACATTTCACATTGCTGAATATTTGTTCAACACATTCACCTGAGTGTGTTAGGCTGTTGGGACTAAAGCCCGTGAAAACAACGTAAAGGGGGACGTTTTTATACGGGATCACAGTTTGGAGGATTCAATGCATTACGATGAGGAGGGTGTGGGGGGACATGGCAGCTCTCGTGTGGTGGTCAGGAGGGAGGGAGGGAGGGAGGGAGGGAG